AACCCCCCCGCGTTTCCTTGCCTCCCATCCACCGGACCCCGTCCTGCGCTTCACTTTGTTTAGGGAGGGGCTGCTCACTGCTCATTGCTCATTGCTCATCGCACACTGCTCAACGCTCATTGCCCTATATCCCACCCAGCCGCAGGACTCCACTGCCGCCCGCGCCCCGCCCCATCTGGCCGCTTGCGCGCCCCATCCCCCCTCGATGGGGCCCGCCCACACCGGGGCCTCCCCCCTCCCGCCCACTGCTTTCTCAACGGCCCCGAGCCGGGGCTGCCCTCATTGCATACATAGTGCGCCTTTCCCTGCTTTTCTAGTGACCTAGCGTTCCGCACTGCCGTTTGGCCAGCCCATGCTCCCGTACCGTTGCGTTTCTCCCCAATGCGCCATGCCACTTTGCCAGTCATACACACGTTTCGATGCGTGCCCTGTCAGCTGCTTGCGTTGCATGTCGCCTTGCTCCACCCCTGTTTTATTGCTTTCTCTGCTTTCGCCCGGTTCCCGTCCCGTTTCGGCGGGGAGTCTATGTTGCAAGCTAGTTCTTGCTTTACCAGACTTTAAGCCCACACAAGCAAGGCACAGGCGGTGAGAGCCAGGCGGAGCATTGGAGGCTGCGGGCAACCAGTCAGCCTTCAATACACGTTCTATGACAGATAGGAGAGCTTCTAAATAAGAACAGAGCTAGAAGAGGTAGCTATCGGGTGGGTGCTCTCGTCACCGTCCACGCGGAGCCAGCAGGATCCCCCTCACACAAGGGGGGAAGAGGCCTGGCCAGAGAAGTGTCGCTGCCAGAAATAAGTTTCGTCAATTGCCCACAACTAGGCCAGCCACCGCAGTGCGAGACTCTCCCCCTTCCGCCCAGCTATGTCAACGCAGGCGCCTGGGGGGCTGCTGGGAAACGCCGGCGGCCAGCAGGAGGGCGCCGCCGCCGAGAAAGCCGTCACCGAGATTCCGGGCCAAGCACTGCCGCCACGCGCCGCCCTGCTGCCGCCGCGCCCGGCCTCCCAGGCCGCCTCCTATGCCAGCGAGGACAACGGCAGCGAGACGGACTTCACAGCGGTGGGATGGCGACCGCCGGGGGACGGGGCGCAACCGCCCTCCCACACACACGCAGCGGTGCAGCCCGAGGCAGCAGCACTCTCCGAGGCGGAGCTGCGTCGCTCGCCATTCTTCGACCTGCAGCACCCAGTGACGCTGTATGAAGCTGCCAAGCTGGTGCTCATGGCGCCCGTGGTGGTGCTCAAGGTAGGCCAGGCGGTCCGTCTGGCTTGAAATCTCTGACTTGCCGCCACTAGGGCCCCGAGCCCTGCTCAGATAGGTTTTCGCTGACCTGCCTGCCCGCCGCCCGCTGCCGTCTGCAGCTGCTCGCCTTGGCGGTGGCTGTGCCCTACGCCTGGGCGGTCCTGGCTGTGCTGCTGCTCGGGCACAAGCCGCAGACGCCCATGCAGCCCTTCCGCCAGTTCTTGGTGCGGCAGGCAAGTGAACTGACGCACCGCTGCAAACGAACGAAATGTGCTCCAGCAGCAGGGAGGTAAAAGGGTGATCAGATCTGCTCTGCAGTGGGTGCACCAGTGGGGCCGCTTCCTGCTCTTTGTCGCCGGCTTCTACCACATACCGGTCCGCGGCTGGCACAACGTGCGGGCGGCAGAGGAGTGCAGGTGAGGCCCCGACGTGCGGCCCGGCATGCACCCAGGCGCCACGCCCGCCGCCCGCCGCTGCCGCCCCGTCGCCGGCCGGCCGGCTGGCTGGCAAGCCCGCTGGCCCATGGGAGGATGCGGCACATGACGCAACACCTGCTGCTGCGTGGGGGTGCAGGGCAATCCTGGTGTTCAACCATCCCAGCTACGTGGACGCGGCTGCCATGGCCACTTTCTTCACCCCCTCTGGAGTGTCCAAGGCCGGCGTGGTGAACATCCCCTTCATCGGCCTCTTCGGCCTGGCGCTGCAGGCGAGCCTGGCGCTGCACAGCCACCCCCCAGCATGAGCATGCATGCACAGGTCGCCTGGCTGGGCGCTGCTGGGGCGCTCCGCCGCGGCCTCAAGGCAGCGCAGCACATAGCCACGCTGCTCAGCAGGCTGCTGCTGGCGGCTGCGCGCTGCAGCTGTTCTTTGTGGAGCGCAAGGGGAGCAGCGACCGGGCCAACAAGCACGTGCTGCGGGGCGATGCCGTCACTGCCATCGCCGGCCGAGCCGCCGACCGCAGGTGGGGTGCTATCCGGGGCAGTCCTGCCTCTGCCCTGCCTGGCAAGCGGGGCAGGAAGCCATGATCACGCCATTACCAGCGCTGTCACCTGCGAGCCCTGCCGTAGGTTCCCACTGGTGGCCATTGCGCCAGAGGCAACCACCAAGGCGCAGCCGTGCCTGCTCAAGTTCCGTCGCGGCGCCTTTGCCATGGGCCTGCCCGTCTGCCCGGTGCTGCTGCGCTACCGTTATCGCCACTTCAACCCCGGTGAGTGTTTACGGCTCGGCAGGAGCTTCGGCGCAGCCTGCTTGCCGTGCGCGGCCCCTTCCACAGGGATGCACTGTGCACCCAGGCTGACTCTTGCTGGTGGCCGCAATGCAGGCTGGGGCATAGCCATCACTCCCTTCCACGTATATCGCCTGCTGGCCCAGCTCATCAACCACCTGGACATCACGGTGCTGCCGCCCTACCACCCATCTGGTCTGTGCGGCCGCCAGCTCGCCCAGCGCAGCCCTGCGTGCCCGAGGCGGTCGCGCCAGCTTCGTTCTGGGTCGACTCATCGTCTGGTGCCCCGCTGTGCCTGCTGCTCGTGATGTTGCTTCCAAACGCTGCCGCTGCCGTCGTCGCCTGCCTGTGCAGATGCGGAGCTGAAGGATTGGCGGCTGTACGCCGAGAACATGCGGCAGCTGATGGGGCAGCACCTTGGCGTGCCGCTGGTGGACCAGGCATGCAGCGGGGACGCATGCCGACTGCCTGATGAGCTCAATCAGCTCCTGTGTCATCAGCAGGACCGTGCCATCGTGCGGTACTGGATGTTTGACCTGACGATGCTGAGGTCCTGCCCATCTCACCCACGCATGCATGCATGCACCGCGCCTGCTCTGACCGCCTGCAGGGCCTGAGCGAGGAGCGGCAGCTGTGGCGCATGGGGGCGCGGGTCAACCTGCTGGGGACCAAGGCGTGGGTGCCCAAGGGGAAGGCAGATTGAGTACACCGTGCCTTGCGAAATGCTTGCCACCCACCTGTTCAGCTCCACGCCACACACCTGACTCGGCTCTGTCAAAGCAACAGGCGTCGGCGGCAATGCTAGCGACATGCAGACATGCGAGGGCTGGACTTCTGGCAGGGCTCCCTGCTCGCGTTCAGTAGCAACACTTGCATCTATGAGCGCAATGCACAGGATGCAGGCGCCTGAAACACTGTATTAGCGCCGGTCCACAGGGCGCCTTTCCAGCGGCTTGGTGCCACAACCCAGGCCTCTCCGCGATCTGAGACACGCATCACAACGCCCTGCATCCGAATCACGGCGCCCCGGCCGCCCAGAGTTCGCCTCTTCGGCCATCGGCATGAGCACCGCACTCCAGCGCTTGAGGCAGGGGCAGGGCCGATGCCAGCAGCAGTTGCTATCCCTGCTGCAGTGGCATCAGCAGCAGGCGCAGGCAGGGGGCCTGCAGCAGCAGCGTGGGATGGCCGACCAGGCCCCTGCGAAGCAGTTTGCCAAGGAGCGCAAGGGCTTCCAGAACTCGCTGTCCGAGCTGCGCAAGACGTGGGCCAAGGAGCGGCTGGAGAAGGAGGCGGCACGGGCAGCGGCAGAAGCGGCGGCGAGGTGTGCCGCCGCTCACCTGCCTGAATGGGAGGCAGCGCGCCTGCTCCTGCTGGGCAGGCGTGCTGCATGCCCAAAGGAGCCACACCTGAGCTTGGTGCTTGCGCCGCGGTTTGCTGCTTGACCGGCGGCACCAGCCCCGCCACCTGCTGCTGCGTCGCGCTGCTGCAGGGCGGAGCGCGAAGCGGCCAGGGCGCAGCGCAAGCAGAAAGACCTGCAGTCTAAGGCGCGGCGGCTGACGGAGTTCCAGGCGCAGGAGGCGGCGGCGCGAGAGCTGCGGGTGCGCAGAGCCGCTGCATGCCACCACGTGCCGGCAAAGATCCCCGATGTGCTGTTGTGCGCTGGCCGTACCCAGGCCGTGCATCCCTCCGCCGTACCGCATCGAAGCCGATGCGCCCGTGCACCCGTTGCCTGGCCCGCCAGCACACTCGCCGCGCCTCCCACACAGTTCCCTGCTCTCCCCACCAAATGGCCGCCGCGCTGGCCCCGCCGCCTCCCTGCCCGCCCGCCTGCAGCTGGCGGCCAAGGCGGAGCGGCTGAAGCGGGCGCAGCTGCGGGAGGAGGTGCTGGACGTGGCGCGGGAGGAGCGGCGGCGCCTGCTGCTGCTCCAGTCGTGCAACTGGGTGACGGAGCAGACGCTGGAGCAGCGCGTCCAGGAGGCGCTGGACAACCCGGTGCCGCTGCATGCCGACACGCGCGGCGGCTAGCCCGACTGGGCGGCTGGCTGGCTGGCTGGCGGCAGGGCGACGATCCCTCCGTTTCATGGCCCCCACCGGTGTTCCCCATGATGTGTGTTGCAACCATTGCACAGCGTGCATGGGGTTTCACACAGCAGTGATGAGCGAAGTGTGGGAACGATGGCGAGGAAAGTCGGGCAGCTGAGCTGGCGTGCGGGAAGGAAAGGTCAGCAGGCATACGATCGATCGCGATCACTGTTCTCACCGTATGCAGCAGAAACATTGCCCAACGCTCAGTGCACGCGTGTTTCTCCCTCGACAGAAGCGGCAGGAGCCGCCTAGCAAGCGGTTGTGCGAGCAACCTAAACTATTCCGGCGGGGAGGAGGTTCCTGAGTCCAGAACATTTGCGGCAGCGTCTGGGAGTGTTGTCGATCGCAGCGGCCGCCGCAGGTGCGTTCAACACAAGTTCGGCAGCCACTGTCCAGTGCACTCTGCCGGGGCAAGTGCCTGCAACGCTTGCCGAGCGAACGAACTATGCCTCAGATGGACCAAGCGCGCTGAGAGTGCGCATGGCGGCTGCTACAGAAGTTGCCGAGCACCTCACCTGGGGGCAGCTGGCGGGGAAGCCGCGAGCTGTCAGTCACTGGTGGCTCTTCTTCTCCCTCTGTACCACTCTCCCCTTGATTCCAACTACGTCTGCAGGCATGCGAGGGTCACCGGCGGTAGCGGCAGCGCTGCTGGCGGCCGTGCTGCAGGGGTTGCATGTGGGAGGGGCGGCGGCGCCCGCCGTGAGCAGCACAGCCAGCCGCCGCAGCCTGCAGATGGCACCGCGCTTCAGAGGTGGCTGCCCCGGGGGCATGTTTACAATCAGGAGTGCGGCGGACAGGCAGCGAGCGTTGGACTCGGGGCGGCATGCCTTCCGCTGGCACATCCAGGAGTTTTGCCAGAAGATGCCGTTGTACGTGATGGAGCCTCTGCGATTTGGCCTGCGTGAGTCCTGCCGCCTACCGGTGCCGGCTGCCGTCGGCTGGCCGGCCTGCCGCTGTTCCTTCTGCGCCGAGACATGTCGCCTGTTGCAAAACTCGCCGCAGCTTGATGACAGCTGATGCCATCCCTGCTTGCGCTTGTGCAGGCCTGGCGCCGCGCTGCACAAACAGGGCGCGCACGCGGTTCACGCTGCTGTTGTCGTTTGCCAGCCCATGCGCCCGGGGCCAGCGAGTCAAGCACACTCTGGCCGTCAACTGGCGCCCCAGGCGCAACTGTGCCAGCGATTACTGGCCGTTGAGAACCAGCAGCGAGGCGAGAGCGGCATTGGGGCAGCTTTGTGTGGGCCGACCTGCTCAAAGGAGAGCAGCATGCACTGGCCTGCCCCAGCTTCTTCCCAAGCCTTTGCTCTTGCGCCCGTTTCATGCAGCCCATCTTCCAGCCGGAGCAGATGCCGCCACTGCAGTGCCCGCCAGGCTTTGTGGCGGGGCAGCCCGAGGTGGTGGGCAACGTTCTTGATGCGATTTTCCTGCAGGTGTGAGCGCCCGCAGCGGGCTAAGAGGTTGCTCTGGCGGCAGGTGGAACTGCTGGGGGTGCCCAGTGCAGGCTGAGGGAAGGCAGGATCTGGCTCACACATGTGTGCGGCTGCCTGCCTGCCCGAACATGTTCCGTGCTGGCTGACTGGCTGCAGCATGTGATGCCCGGCCTGCGGAGCACGCGGTACTGGTGCAAGGGCGGCCTGGCGGAGGTCTGGTATGAGAAGCTGAATGGCTGTACTACGCCGGTGAGTTAGCAGCTACCAGCGCTGATCCTACATGCTCTGTGTGCTACGCCAGGGCGCAAGATGGTGGGTGCCATGTGTTGCGCTTTCCCGCACCCCAACGTGATGCAACAACTGCTGAACCATGCACATTGCACCTGGTGTGCAGCGCAGCAAGGGGGCCTCCCCATATTTGATGGCCGAAGGGCAGGCGCGCTACGCCTGCTACCATCCAAACCGGCGGCCCGGCAGGGAGATCCGCATAGGTGCGCGCAGCGCATGACCCGCTGGGCGGCACGGTCGGGGCTGGGACGGGGGGAAGGCACTAGCATGCCACAGCATGCGTGCCATGCTAGCTCTGCGCAGTCGGTGCATGGCGTGGCCCAAAGTGTCATTTCCACCATGCATGCTGCCCCCGTTGTATGTTGCAGGGTTCAGGGCCCAGGGCACGTACCGGCGGCAGTGCTTCGACAGGGTTTCCCTTATTCGCGCCTGAGCGCACGACCCTGCACTCCTAATTGCCGACACACTGTTTCATTGCCGATTTGACTTTCTATTCATTTTCGCCATTCTCAGCTTTTTCTCTGCATGCCCCTGTGACAAATGCTGGCCTGGTCAGGCAGGCAGCAGCACAGGCACTGGCGGCAGGCGGCAAGCTGGCTGCGGCGGCACAGTATGCAAATGCCGTGCACCCTGCCATCCTGTAGGCGCCTCCAGGCTACGATTTAGATGGGTGTGTCTGTAAACGGGCCCTTGGGGCATCGCCCCAGCCCGAGGGTGACAAGTGTCAGCCTGACAGTGAAAAAATGCCACGTGGCAAGGATGTGTTGCCCCCTGATGTGGCACCCTCCCGATTGGGCAACCCCCGCCCCCGCTCGCTCCTGGCAGCCCGCGCGGCGCTCCCCTCCCATACGTGAACTGACCCCATAGAGCCATGTTTGAGGGTTGAGCGGGGCGGAGCGGGGCTGCTTGCACACGTGATGGCATGCACGCTTCAACGCTCCCGCTGTCATCTCACCTCTCTAGCGTCAGAAATACAACTCTTACAAGCCAACCAACACGAACAGAGAGACCGAACAACAGAAATGAACAGGAAATATGAAGCCGCCACAGGCGGCAGCACCTTTCAGCGGAGACGGCAAAGCGTACAAGGCACACTTCTTCAATGGTTCTTGCAATTGCCACCCTTACCGGTTATACAGCCACAGTGCCGCCCACACCGCGCACCATTCTTCTTGCAGCTGCAGTTCCGGGTGCAGGCGCCGCGGCAGCCGCAGCGCACGGCTGCCTTGCCGCCGCCGGGCTGCGCCGCCATCGCCACATTGAGAGACACCACAGGCACTCCTCGCTGCGCCGTGCCGCTGAAGGTCAGCTCGCTGGCCAGGCTGGGTGGCGCCTTAGATAGCCTGCTGGCCTGATGCATACCCTCCACCACTCCAGCTCCGCTCCGC